CTTTTCTAGAGTGTAATCCAGTTATTGGTTTGTTGTTTCATTCAAGTCACCTATAACTATAATGAATATATTTTTGCTTCTTACTTTACTAATCTTGAATTTAAGCCAGTGGTGTAATTTGGCTCTCTCTTTTTTCTTGGTCTCATCTGCTAAATTATAGACTGTTATGACTCTATATTTTATCTTTTTCTTGAAAGCTATGTCAATTAGTATGCCATGATTGATATATTATATATGTGTGTTGTCCATACTTTCCTTATTATAATACCTATACCTGTTCTATATATTTGTCATATTGTTTTTGATAAGTATATTTGATATTCCCTTTCTTTATCTCATCAGAAAGAGTTCTCTGCTAGCTATATTTCTGTTATTCCCAAAATATCTATTTCCTTTTTTTTGCCATATTCTAATGTTGATAATTTCTCGATCTCAGTATTGATTCTTCTTATATTTAATGTACCTATCCTTCATTGTTTATAAATAATCTTTTTATAGTTTTCTCTTTTTGCTTGCTTGTCTTCAGCCTCTGATTCTTTGGGTCTGGTAATCATAGTTGTTTTGGAGGAAAGAGGAAACTGGGTTTGTTGTATCTATGCTTTCTATCAGTGATTTTAGACAATCCATCATTTCTTTCATAGTTGTTATCATTGTTGATTCTATCTGGTTGATTCCTTCATTGATTAATGCTTGCTGTTATCTGATATCCATTCTTTTTTAGTGATAGAGTTTTGAAGTTTGAGTTCTCTGAAAGTGTCTCTTGTTTTAGTGAGAAGTCTGTGATTACCAGTCCTTTAGCTTTGATATGTGGGCTTACTTCTATTGCTATTAACTTTTATCCAACATATAGATCTGGTGTTTGATAGCCTTCATGTCTATTTGGAGGTATTTGAGCACTTCCATTATTCTTTTAATTCCTATTAGTAGGATCTGTGTACCCTTAGTGACACTTGCATATGTTCGTTTTAAGGTACGGAAGTTGACAGTTTGTCTGTTTTTCTGTCTGATGATAGTAAGCTCTTTTTGCATTGTTGTTCTCAGTCTGGGCTGTTCCAGTCTGTTTTTTCTACTTTTTGTGGATGAGCCTTCTTTATTGATTGAACAGGAAATGAGTTTATAATTATGAGTATCATATCCAAAACAAAGTTTTTTGGTTTTCTCTACCCATCTTATTTAATAAAATTTTTCTAGACTTTATGAAATGATATTTATCTTATTAAAATACTCATAGTTTTCTAAAATATTTTGTCAATTGTTACTTATTTTTATTTTAATTTTTCAATTGAATCAATATATATATTAAGTAATATAAAATCAATAAAATATAAGTAATAAGTTTTTTTTTTTTTAAAGATCCTCTTTCCGCTGTTTCTCTGACCACACACAAAAAAGATGTTCACAAGAAGTTTTATACTTCTTTGCTAATAAAGTCTTTACACTTTCATTAAAACAACTTGAAACTTGTCTTCATGTATTTCCTTTACTCTTTCTTACTTGTTTATAAACTCCTTTGAATAAAAACTTGAACCTCTAGTGGCCTGAAAAGACTCAAGTATGCACTTCCTCTACTAAGGACTAGAAGGTTCTAGGAAGTAAAAGAACTGACAAGTGAAGTATCACATTACAGAGCTAGAAGTGACAAGAAATAAAGGTTTTATTGGCAGGGGAAGGCTTATTTTCCACCTTCTCACATACTATCTTGTACCCTCTTAAAGTATCTATCATTTTTTATGGTTTTCTTGGGGGGTTTTGCCTACCTCAGTTTGATCCTGAATTTCTGGTAGCACAACGTCACCTGGCATCTGATTGGTTGACACAAAACACGTTAGTAATCAAATGTAAACAAGCTTCTATTGGTCATCTCACGTGTTTCGATGATGTCATTGGTGATAGAAAGAGTTAATTGGTGTCCCGTGTCTGCCTCACTCCTTCAATTGGGTTAACCTACAGATCAAGTATTATGAGGCCAATAAGATACGAGCAATAAGTCCCCAGATGGTAAAAAAGCTGCTATTCATTCAAGTTGAGGTTTTTCTATTCTATCATTCCGATCAGGCAAAGTTCAAGGCCAAGGTCTCCTTTTTATCCCAGTCAGGCAATAAGACTGAATGGTCTCTAGTCCATGCTAAGCTCCAACCCTTTGGTTACAGTTGAGAATGCATTTTCCCAGAAGTTGTTAAAGGATATCGCAATCAACGAGGATTCTTACCACTTTGCAAACCCTCCCAAAATTACAAGGTAAAAGGATTGTTGTGGAATTTGACCTTTTGGATAATGGAAGATATACACCAGTAAAATTTTTTTAATTAGGCGTGACTGCTGGAAGATATTATACTGAAACAACATGAACAGTTCCTCTAGGTCACATAAGAATCTGGGGTCCATCATAAGTCACCCTTCTATTGCAGATGGATAAAAAATCACTGTTCAAAGAAAGTTGGGACCAAGTATGTCCTGGAAGTAAAGGCTTCCACTAGGCAATAAGTCTCCTTAGATGGTACACAAGAAGAAAATCAAGATCAAGAATGGATAAGTTCCTCAGACGGTCAGAAAAAGAAAGGATATTCTAATTGAACATTTCTTATTGAGAAGAGGTCTTGAGAAGTAGGACTTTGGAGGAAGCTGGAAATATTTTTTTTTAATTTCACTTTTTCATTTTTTTTTTAGTCTGCTTAGACATTTTAGATATCTCTCCCTCCCCTTTTTTTCAATTCATCCTTTTGTAGTTTCCTATATTTCAGCAGCTTGGTTAGACATATGGCAGTGACAATCTGCTAGCAATAATGCAGTGGACTAGGAGGGTCTTCATCCAAAGACACAGTGGAGTGAAATATTGTTTCCAAGGCTAAACTTAGAGGCTTTTATGCTTATGACGAGTTAGTTATATTAAAATAATAGTTTAGTTGTAGTATGTATCATGCTGCTCGAATAAAAATATACTTTTGTCTTCAATTGATTAATAAACTAACGATCTAGCCTGGCTACGAGTACTAAAAAAAAAAAAAATAAGTAATAAGTTTTATAAATAATAAAAAAACTATTATTTATTTAAGCTAAAGTTTTTCTCTTTTATTATCCTGGCTTGCCAAAGTTTAATACTAATGTTTTTTCTTATTCTAGTTATATAATAAAATTGATTGATCTTCAAACTACATTAATTTTAACTTCTTTATTACAATAAAAAATGTATTTCTCTAGAAGTTGTAAAGAATATTATAATTAATAAGAATTCTATTACTGTTCAAAATTTTTCAACCATTATAAAACAAAATGATAATTGGAAAATCTAACTTTTTTAATAATAGAAGATGTTTATTAGTAAAATTTTATTAATTGGCAAGTAATTAGTTAAAACTGAAGAATTTTATTTATTTTTATTTATTTTCTTGTTATATATTTATATAATTTTTATATCACTTTTTTTTTTCAATATTCTTTTTTTGTGGTTTCCTATATATTAGTAGTTTAATAAAATATATATCAATATTAATAGGTTAACAATGATATATTAACTAAAATAATCTTTATACAAAGTCTATTATAGAATAAGATATTGTTTCAAAAATTAAACTTGGAATCTATTATTGCTTGTGACAAGTTATGTTTATGAAAGTTTATATTAAGTTGCTCAAATGATAATATACACTTGTTTTCTATTGATTAATGAACTATGATCTAATATGAGCTAAAATTAATTATACAATAGTAATACTTTTAGATTATTAATCATAATATTTTTAGTTCAATATTATTAAAGAATCAATAAAAAATCTTTTATAACAAATTTATTGAATAGCCTTTAAAGTTATATTCAATTATTTAAAAATTGTTCTTTAATAAATTAAAGTTGATAAGAACTGATTTAATATTACAGATAGCAATAAAAAAAAAAATAATGCATCTTTTCTGAGATCTAAGCAAATAATATCTGAGAATATTGAAGAATACCGAATTTTTCAATAGATACATATAATTAGGGCTATATAATATAATATATCTCAATACTAACTATCTTAGAATAGTCATTGATAATTATGTATTTATCATTTGGACCCAGATATATTTTCCAATTTACCAAGTAATGGCTGGTCCAGTTAGGAACAACTGTAATGGGTATCATTGGTCTGAATTTATATAGAAATGTATAGTATACAGTATATGATATTATTAATGATATGCTAATGAATATAATTGTATGTCAAATTCAAGTTACTTTTTGATAAAGCTTTGTATCTAATATTTGATTATGGTTTAGCAATAATAATGTATGGATTCGACTGCTAAATAAAATACAAACGTATAATGTTTTAGGTTTTACTAACAAATTTTGAAAAAATCTAGTCAAATAATATCAAAGTTTATTATTATTTTCGGAAAAATTTCTATCATTTTAATTAATAATATTTAAGTAGAAATCAAACTAGTCTATTAAATCGTAAATCGGAATTTTAGAAATACCCATGATTATTAAAATGAAGCTTCCATAGGTAAAAAAAAGATGTGATATTTATTAATAAGCAATTCGAACGCAAATACAGTATGTCGTAAGTCAAAAGGTCATCTGTAACATTTTGTACAAATATGCTTGTGTTCTTGTATAAAGTAATATTTCGTGTTTAAATAGAATTTTTTAATTTATTATATGTACATTCACCGTATTCTTATTTAGCAATATATATTCTGTATATATTTATAAAGTTGTGTCGTGTAAACAATTCTTTATTGGCTTATGGCAAAAAAAAAAGAGCCAGTTAAAAAATTCCAAAAAGCTCGTATTATAATATGTTGTAATTTACTAACTTTAAATAATTATCATAAGTTTTTTTATCTGCAAATGAAACAAACACTTTCGGATTACCTTGAATCCGTACCGTATACATGTGCGTCGCTGACGTACAATACTTAATTTTTCCGACATCATATGACCTCAGTCCCTTATTCAAAAATGACAATCTTATTTCAGAAGTTTGTACAGGAAGAAAAAAAAACGCTTTAAGAATTTAAACGCCGAAATCTTCTCGATCGTCATCACTGTTGGCTGCAATTTCCCGTGATAACTCAGTTATGGTAGAGCGATCTTGTAGAGGTATAGAATTATTGAAATCATCTTCAATATCTTGATAATTTATTCCGCTTATATTCTTGGCATTAGATGAGAGAGCAGTGGTTGAAGAGTTCTTTGTTTCATTTATCGACGAATTGTTTCCGTGAAGTCCCCAACCTTCGTTGATTACATAGCATATTGCATTTCCTATAGGCTAAAGAAATAAACGGGTTGAGTTCTCATGAAAATCTTGTTAATAAAGATAAGATTTGCATTGTGTAATTTAATAACTACCCCCATGTTAATTGATGCTGCAACTAATGCATATACCCAAGCGCCTTCTTTCTATAAGAGTTAAAGAAAACAATTAATAAGAAAATGAACGTGATTTTATCGCAAAATAAACGAACAAATTTCTTACATTTAAAAGAACGTAAATATCATACGGAAAAGCAGGGAACTTGAGTAAAGGGTAAGATAATGCAAAATATTAATCATGCTTTCTTTGCTTCCGATTAAAAGAGAAAAGATTACTAAATAGACTACTCACCCATTGAATAAGAAATACCAAGATATACCCCATAACTTTTTTGGTGACTTTAGCTTCAATGCTCATACTTTTATTATCCATAGTTGAGTTTACGGCAGTCGACTGATGACGACCTTCAAATCCACTGTCTTTAGGAGTTGATTCAACGGCCGAGACTTGTTTTATAACATCACGAATCATCAGAATGGTTCTAAGATAACAATAAGAGCATACTCCTAGTATCAAAATCGACATTCCCAGTCCGACTAAGATAACGTATGGGGAACCTCGCACTGTGCCGCACCTTATTTAAAGAAAAAAAAAAAAAAACCAATAATTAATAATAAAACGAAGGAACAAAATTAAGCCAATCACGGAAAATATTATATTAAAATCCTTATATGTACGTACCAATATACATCAGGACCGAATTCTGGATAACCTAGTACTGTAAATAGTAGGGAAATCAATCCCGATATTAACCATATTTTCCAATCATATTTTCCATAATTCCAGTAGACTCTTTTGCACACACTGTTTAAAAAAAGGGGAGGAAATTTAAGAATATTTTTGCAAAAAGAATGAAAGAGCGCAAATTATAATTTACCGTAAATATGTAGTTATGGCAATTGATGCGGTCATGAATCTCTCTAAAAGCGTGACTGTGGTCGCCAGACAGCCCGAGAGTCTGCACGAATTGTCAGGTAACAATTCATGGTAAACCGCCGGGTATGTCTTTTGGTATATAAGTGTAAGTATCGAAGACCCAATACGTACAGTAAAATTTTATAAGATATTGGCTTATAATACTTACAAAATTAATCATGTTAAAAACCCACATCATAGCATCTGTTCAAATTTAGGGGAATTTGGTTTAGAGACTTGCAACATGTTTTTATATTGCATTCGCTTGTAATTCACTTACTCAAGACTCCCAAGTAGAGAGGAACTCTCAGGGCCAAAGAAAATCCTCTCTTCGTGTCTCTCCATTTGATGTATATTCGAATCAACACAAATAAAATCGCAAATAGGCTCAAACCCGTGAACGAGAGTGCAACGGAGTACACCAATATAAATCCTGCCACGTCCTCTATTAATCAGAAATGATGAGGGAGCATAATCATAATTTTGTGATAATGATTAATATATTTCTCGAGAGAATATCAAAGCGCATGTATACGGGTACTCACTGTTAGGCACATCATCATAGTATCCGCGGGGAAACACATTTTGACCAAGTGCGTTGCCTATCAAACCCATGAATACCACAATAATTAACGGTAATGAACTTAGGAAAGATGGTAATTCCATTTTATTTTAATTAAGGTAAGGTAAAAGGGTAAAGTTTTTTTGGGATAGAGGAAATTAAAGGAAAAGGACGATGGAGGTATAAAACTTGATAAAATACAAAGTTTCTCCTGTCTCTATTTATATGTATTCGTGATTATATTTAACAATTAATTTTCGTGTGCACGTTCAGATGAGATTTTAGGTAAAAGTAATGTTGATTGGTGTTTGATCGCAACCCAAGAGTGCTTGAAACTTAACGATAACACGAGAAGAATTTGAATTTATAACGTAGCAAAAAACTTCAAAAATTAAGATTACCTAACAAACAAAATTAACAAATAAAACCACAACTGGCGGTAGTTTTCGAGATCATCTATTCCAAAAAGAAACTATTTAAATCTTATTTGTGAATTTCAATCATTGTGTAATTGCTGAGTTAAATACAGATTGATTGGTAACCGAGAGAGGTAATGCGCACAGATGCATTAAATAATGAGTTGCGCATGCACGTTGTGCGTACCGTACATGCATAAAGGTCCGTTCATTGTGAACGGATATTGGTTTAAATGCCGGGTGTCTGAGCGTAAAATTTTTCTAACAAACAAACATTAGTTTAATGCTTACCGGTTTCTTGGAATGTACCGGCGATTAAGCACTAATGACCAATATTTTCCGATGAAAATCTTACGAAAGTGGCACAATTATCCGAGTACTTTCTCCTTGCGTTTCTGTAATACTGTACACATAAACTTTAACTTACAATTGCCATATATATGTACATAGACCGCATTTCAGTGACAAACATTGCTCCTATGTTTTCCTATTCTATTCATTTTCTCCGAACTGCTGCATGCTAACGTAACTGGTGGCTTATTGATCTTCGGAGATGATTTTATAGACGTTGCCTTTTATGGTATTCCGAGCGCCAAGAGAAAATCCCAAAATTACTAGTTAAAAAAAGGAAAGAAGCTTGATTCGTGGGGCATTGTCTCGACGACTAGAAGTTAAAGTTCGCTTTTTTGTGCAAGAAATCATTGATCACGGCTTTCTTCTGCGTTTTTGGTCAAGTCTAATAGGTGCAGGGTATTTTTCTAGAAAAATAAAATGTTATTACGTAGTCTAATTCGTTTATTAATTAATTAATTGTACAATATACAATATAATACGCTTTATATAATAATTGTGTAAAAATAAGAAGAAGAAGAAGAAGAAAATAAGAAAAAAAACAAATCGATTTATTAATTCGATTTGGAAAGTGCCAGAGCAATATTATTATCGGATAATTAGAATTCGAAATTAAACCCATTTAATATCATCATCATCGTTATTTATTTATTTTGATTTTGATTTTTTTATTCGTTTTATTTTTCATATATTTAAAGTTAAACATTTTCACAAATTCACATTTGACTGATTATACATACATTTACTGTATATGGATCAATTTATTTCAGATTGATTTGATAAAATAAGATAATACATGATAATATAATAATAACCCCCGTTAAAATTAAAATGGTTCTCTAAATAAATATATTATTTTGTACGGTATATGACAACATTTTAAATAATAATGATTCAATAAATTACCATTGCCACTACTTTTATTATTGTTATTAAAATCTAAAAATGATTCTGTCTGTTGATAAAAAATAATTGGAAAAATTTTATTTAATAAAATTTATAAAAAATTTTCCACAAATCACTTTCGTCTTTCTTTTATCAAGTAATTGACCGTGATTTTTCTTTAAACACTTGTATTTATATAATATATTAATATTTATTTATACGTTCTTAAAATCGAAAGTTCCACCATCAAACATTGTAGAAAAAGTCAATCGTGACTTTTGTACAATAAAAATGTGCTTATTACTGGTAACGATTTCGATTCATGTAACAAAGCAAGTATTACGTGCTGTAGTAATAAATCTATAAACTTGACGTGTATATTTTCTACAGGAATAAATTGGTTGGCATATAAATTTACTTTCAATAAAATTATGTAATGGATTTTCTTCTTTAGAGGGAAAGAATGTTTCGTGTATCTTATTTTATGTCCACAGCGACAAATCACTTGGATCACGTGACCTTTACTTTGGCATTACAGCAAATTCGATATGAAAACCAAACAACACATTTTGATTTAATAGCAAAAGTTAGTTCCCCGCTTACCAGCAAAGGACTTGAGACAAGGGGATATTATGATATCAGATTCTTCTGGTTTCATAAAATAGGACCAAGTCTATAGTAAATTCTCGTTCGTCATTGTATTAATGCCAACAGAGCGGTATGTACGCGTGATCAAAACCAAAAATTTCATTTTATCATCAAATTCCATATGTTATATGAAAAAAACGCAAGACAGTCAAGTATAATTGATACTAAAAATAAAATTATCGGGCGTTTAGATTTTTTTTTTTTTTTTTTTAAAAAAAAAAAATTTCCCGGTGACTTTCTTATACGTACCGAGTACGTGTACATCGTACAAGCAGATACACGTGATGATGGGCATTGATTTTTCGGTCTGCGTACTAAATGAACTACGTACTGTAAATTAAGATCGAGGATTTCATTAATATGCGAGATGCGTTATTTATGTTGTCATTGTTTCGTTAAGAATACTTGTTCTGACTATTGTAGTTTCAGAAGTTTTATATCTGCTATCGCACTTCTGAACTAGAAAGGCGGAGCTAGCTGCACGTTTTTGGAGACCTTTTCATAAATCTTTCCTTGATGGAGGGACGACTTGATTATTATGATGAGAAATTTTTATGTCAGGATGAAAACTTTGCTGCCTGTCGAATGAGATTTGTTGTGGAGGTATTTATATGATAATGCAGTCACTGGGTTTCGTCTGCCAAAGACCAACTAGTACTACTGACTGCCCAACCTACCCTAATGCCATTCACTTCGACCCCACTCTCTTCCTCAGACTTTCCCATTGACACTTTTATCTATCAAATTCGAGGAGATCGGGCGCTTAGCATTCATCGAACTCACAAACTAACAGTTGTTGATTTTGCGTATTGCGATTGCAAGTTTAGATGTTAGTCTATTGTTGGGTTCTTATTGATAAAGACAAATAATTAAAAAGAAATATTTTAAATGAATCTCTCTAGACAAAGAAGAAGCACGCAAAATCAAAAATAAAAGTTGATCAAAAAATGAGAGCATATTATAAACGTATAAACATTTACGTTGTCAATTTAATTTACATTTCCATTAAATTTATTAGCTAGTAACATTGATAAAATAAATGCTATAAATTAAATAGAGTCTTGTATCTCTGGAAGAGCTGGATATTCTTTATATTATTCAATTTCAATATTCAACCCAGTAGGAGTATAAACAATTAATAACTTTGAAATTTCCCCCCAAAAAAGCTATTGTAAGCAAAATTTACTTTGTTAATCATTGGTCGCCCTTTTAGGTTCAAAAAATCAAAAATCTATTTGTTGCTAGCGAAAAAGGTTTGTTGTTACCTCCCGAGAAACATGGAGGACGTCATTATGATTTCAAAAACATCACTCCGGATCATTGACCATCATAAACAAAATAAGTTATGAAGATTTCGAGTGAGCACATAGAGCAAACATACAGTATTTAAGATTTTATAAAAAACCTTTTCATCTGACTTTCGGATACGTGATAAGAGCTTTACTTGGATGTTTCTAAATCACATAGTTTTGTTTGACAAAATGGTTTAAAGAATTAATTTTCTCATTAACTTATTTTATGACTCGTGTACTTTGTTGTAATTAAAATTGTTTGAATTGCACGGAGTGTTAAATTTAATATTAATCTGAATCACTTTAGATAAGCTCGGATGGTGAGACTATGAAATTCTTTCTGAACTCAAGCAGGAAAGTCAAAGAAACGGATTTGAGGGCCTGTGTCTCTTCTTAAATAAATAAATAAATAACAAAAAAGATGTTTAACCGGCTTGGCGGTGCAATTGTTTCAGG